AAGGTTATTAGACTTCACTTATAATAAGAGAAATACAAAATAACACTACACTGAGATAATGTTTTCATCCAACAGACTGGCAACATTTCAAAACCTTGACAATAAACTCTGCTGGTGAAGCAAGGTTTAACAATATACCTACATTCTTCAACCAGCAATTCTACTTTTAAGAATTCACCCTAGAGCCTTATCTCCGATGTTATGCAAGTATATATACAAAAGATTATTCATTGCAGGCATTATTTGTAACTCTAAAATACTGGACACTACCCATGTCCAAGTATAGGAGACTGTTTGAATAAATTATAGTATATACACCCATGGACTACAACTATAAAAAGAATGAAGACAATACCTATGAATTAACAGAAAGTGATTTTCAGGAAAAACTATTAAGTGAGAAAAGCAAAGTGGTGTAAGAAAGAAGTAGAAATAAAATGTACATATATCTGCCTATCACTACAAAAAAAACACAAACAAGAGGAATCAACTAAAAAAGAAGCTGGTTATTGAAAAGGGATGGGGGAGGAGGATGGAAGCGATATGGAAAGGAGTGATATTTGTTTAAGTATACCTCTTGTACAGTTGACTTTTGGAAGCAAACTGATCTTCTACATATTTAAAAATATATCAACGAGGATGGAAGGAGGTAAAAGTCTAAAACTGAAGGCAAACTGAAAAAAATGAACTCTGAACTGATTTTTAAATGAGGGGGAAAAAGAAGAAAGCACAATATTTGACATATTTGACTTTATTGCCCTTTAGGTGGAGTAGAGAACTCAATACATAGCCTTAAAACATATCCTTTTAATAGGGTTTTTGTATTGTTTTGCTTTTCTTTTGGTGGTAAGTGCAAAGCAATTTTGAAACTATTTTAAATGTATTATAGGAATGAGCAAAAGAATAAATGTGTAGATGGTTAAGGAAAACAGGATTCTCAATGTGGAAGAAGGCACATGTAAAAATGGAATGGGGATAAGCAAGAACAAAATCTGTCAGGATAGACTAGAATTTGTAGTATATATGAAAATTCACAATTTCTACAATATCTGTGTATATCCACATGCATGTGCACACAGTACATATATAGGGATATGTGTACGTGCATTCACATTTACATGCATATTGTGCACATATGCACATAAATGCCCTAGCTTATCTGCTGAAAGGGTCGAGAAATAAAGATACCTAGCACCCAGATCTTGGTCTCTAATACCATTCCCCACTAAAGAAACAATGGTTCCTTGGAGAAATGACTGATTCCAGGGTTTGGGCAGGTAAAAGATGAGCGAGAAAGTAAGAAAGTCCTCAAAAATAAAAGACAGGAACAGGTCACAAAGACAGATCCAGTGCGAAAGGGCTCCACTTGGCAAACGTGGGAAAATTTGAGCAACAAATAATTAAGTAATGAATTATAGACCACTCAGGGGAAAAAAGGGGGAATTCACAAGCTTACATTGATAATAAATACACAGGAGAGAAGAAAGGGCTCTTGGTTATAATAGAATGAGTGTCAAGTGGTAATTGTGGAGGGAGTACTATTATTGGAAAATCATCCCTTTGTGACCAAAGTGAAGACTGGTTCAGGCAAGAATCATCAATGAATGCCAAACCTGAGAACTTGACAGGGCTGAGGGGGAATTTAGATGCAGAACAGGATATTTACATCCTGCTTAACATGTCTTCCCACAGACTGCCTATTAACTGCAATGAGGAAAAAATAGCAATCATGCAATGGAAAAATCACCCACCACCTTAACCAGCTGATCAAAATGAATATTACCAATGAGGGGCAGATAACCATTATGCAGATGCCCTGAGGAGGACACAAAATCACTGTTGTAGTAGTCCAGCCAGGAATGTATAACCTGAATCTAATCATGCGGAAATAAATGACCCCAATGAGGTACATTCTGAATAAAAAATAAAGAGAGGAGGGACAGTGTTCTCCAAAAGTGCAAATTTCATAAAAGAAAAAGAAAGACTGTGGACTTGTTCCATATCAAATGAATCAAAGAAACATCAGTGACAAAATACAATACTTGATGCTAGACTGGAAAGGAAAAAAAGATGGTATAAAGGACATCAGTGGGTCAATTAACAAAAATGTCATATGAACATTAAAGTATTGTATTAATAGTACATTTGCTAACATTGAAAACTATACTGTGGTTATATAAGAGAATATCCTCATTCTTAAGATATATATATTGAAGTATTTGAGAGGTAAAGGGACGGGATGGATGCAACCTACTTTCAAATGGTAAAGAAAACAAAATTATGTAAATAAACATAAAAAGAAAACAAATGATAAAGTAAATGAGACCAAATGTTAACAAGTTTAATCTGAGTCAAGTACATGCAAGTGTTCTCTGTTCTATTTTTATTCTTGTATCTTAACTATAAGTTTGGCATTATTTCCAATAAAAGTTTAAAAAGTTGCAGGAGGCACTAAGGATAAGGAGGATAGGAAAGAAACAAATAGGTCGAATATTGGGTGTGGGATATATGGAGACACTGGTGGGAGTGGGAGAAGAGAAACTCACTAGCAGATTAATTCAACAACAAACACAGAAAATCATTCCAACAATCAGAAATCTTTTGACTTTGATACTATTTCTTCCTAATCACATGTGGTCACATTCCTCAAGTTAGTATATGGTATAACAGCTGGCTGACAGATCCTAATGCAGAAAGAGACAGCTCTAGCATAGTAGTTAAGAGCAGGAGCTCTGGAGTTAGACTGCTTGAGTTTGAATCTCATGAAATTTACACACTGTATAACCTTGGCCAAGTCACATAACCTCTCTCTGTGCCATAATCTCCTCAGGAAGTTTTTTTCTTTTTAGTTCAACAGTGTTAGTTATTGTGGCAACGCTGCTTCCCAAGTTTCTGATGGGTAAGGACAGCTACAGGGAGAAACTCCAACCACAAACACAGTTTGTTCCAACACAATCTGAATCACAATTAATTTAGCCAGACAAACCTAAATATGCTCCCTAGGTATGAGTAAGATCCAGCAAAAAATGGGGCAAAGGAGGAAAATGTCTTCATGGAATCAGAGTAGGTAAACGTGGAATTTTAGGACTTCTACACAAAGTTAATTACAAGGACATCTAATCAAGTGTGTACAAACACAGACTGCAGCCTCAGCAGCCAGGCTCTAGCCCGTTGATAATTAAGTCACTTTCCTTATCTTCACACTTAACTTATAAACCTCTACAAACCAAATCAAAGATCAGACATATTACCCATTTTTTTCCATGTAAGTATATGGTTATCAATGTTAAATGATGAACATGTTTTTTTTATCTTGTCACTCAAGCCTTTTTTCCACCCAAGTTTTCCTATTTAAATAAACTGTATAGTTTTACAACATTTCCACAGTACACAGTATTGCAATGTATGGTATGCCCCTCCACCTAGTGGTTTACTTGGGGAAAAAGCCCACAAAATTAAATCATATTCTTGAAGTGGCACAAGTGTTGCATACTGGGCTATTACACAAATATGTGGTCGTCTCTTAGCCACTATCTCATGATAATTAAGATTATTCTGTACAAATTTACTAATCTTCTAGCAAAAACATTGCTATGACCTTGACTAATATAAACAAGTAACACCTATGCACTAGTTTAACAGTTAAATAAAAATACCTGTTCCAACAAATGGATCAAAGACTATATCATTTTCTTTCACTTTTCCATGGTTGGCCATGATAAATGATAAACCAGCATCCATGCTTGTATTTCCAATAAAGTGTCTCTTTTTGACACTGTATGACTCAATAAGCTCTCTCTGTCCATCTGCAATCTAGATCAGAGATTCTTCAAATTAGTTTAACTGTATAAAACAGATTGAAGATAACCATTCACAATAAAACCAGAGTATCTTGATGATAAAAACATCTTTCCACTTACCATTGCTCTAAACTTGTTCCTTTAAAAAAAAATGTGATTGAGGTAATTATGGACAAATACCTTGTATTTTTTTTAGCGTGTTGTAATTTATTGTGACCTTTCAAATTAAATTTGAATTGAATTTGAATGCAATAATTCCAGAGGTTGGTGGTGAGTAAACTCTACCCACCTCTTTTTTCTCCTAAAAACAATAACCTGTAACATAAGCCCAGCTTCCATTACCCTTAGGGAAGTGAGCAGGACTGCTCTGCAATAATTTTATTTCTTTTCAGAATATGAGCTTAGATTCAAGAACTCCACAAATTAGATCCCTCAACTACCACAGCACTCTGCCTTTTCTCTGCTTAAAAAGCAATCCAGACTTTCTGACAAGTCTTATGTTATTTTTTTCCTGGTACACCACCTCCTACCTAGGCCCTATTATCTAGCAAGCCTCTTGCACTTCCCAGGAATCTCTGGAAAAACAAACAAAACAAAACACAGAACCACGTATTTTCACTCATTTTAATTCATACAGTAATTCTGAGTCTTCAGTTGTCTTAGAATTCTACATATAAAGAGTCCTATACAAAGAATTCTACATATAAAGAGTCCTATACAAAGGTCTAACATTAAACTTTTTTTTTTTTAAAGATTTATTTATTTATTTATTTGACAGACAGAGATAGCAAGAGCAGGAACACAAGCAGAAAGAGTGGGAGAGGGAGAAGCAGACTTCCCGCTGAGCAGGGAGCCCGATGTGAGACTCGATCCCAGGACCCTGGGATCATGACCTGAGCCAAAGGCAGACACTTAATTACAGAGCCACCCAGGCGCCCTAACCTTAAACTTTTAAAGAAACAATCTGAAATAGGTAAAAAGAACACTTGCTTACCCATCTACCAAAATAAATATTATGTGGATTCTCAGGGATGCAGTTTGGGTCCAAACCATAATCCTCCAAAACAGAGAATATATGCTGTGGCTTCTTTAAATTCACTTTCCCTTCAAATGGCAGAAACTCAAGTGCCTAAAAAATAAAAGTGATTCTCATGTCCCATTAGAATTTTAAAGGAAAAACAGTGCTTATATAATAATACCTATCTTGTAAGTTTGGTATCAGCATTAAGTAAGACAAAACATGAAAATTACTTAGCACACAGTGTGCTACCAAATAAACACTGAACAGAATCGAGAATTATTCCATATCAACAGCAGCAGACCACATTATTCTCATAGGTTTTTTTCATTTTTGCTAAATTCACTTACATCTATTCGTTTGACTTTTTCTTCTTGTGTCAATGTTTTATTAAATGTGTGAATCTTTATTTTATATGTAGAATCTGAATGCAGAAATGGAACCTAAAATAAAAGCAAATAAATTATTTTAAGCTTCATAATTCTACAGTATCTGTAGATATACCTATAAAAAACACATTTCACTACGCACCATCTTCTCCACAGGGTAGTTTTTAAGAGAATTATACAGCTCCTCTGGAGATTTTCCATGACCCCATAGTTCAAATATGGACCTAGAAAATAAATGATTAGTACTAACCTCAGTAACGAAATCAGTTCATGCAGTAATATGTAACAATTACTTCCCTAGTTCTTTATTCTTATTCCACTTACACAATTATTGCCTATATTTTCTAAGCTATAAATGAGAAATGTGTCCTAAAAATAAACATAAGTCCAAATCACACAGAGAAGTTTAACTTTACACAGAAGGAAATTTAATGTAAGTCAAGATTTTTCCAAGTCTTCATTATTATATTTTTATACTAGAATACAAATGATGCAGTAACATCATTTATTTTAGTAAAATGGGTGACAAGCTGCCGCAAATCCAATTTTTCCAGTGTCTTCTCCATAAAACAAAAATGACCAGCTAAAAATGTTACAATTAATATTTAGCTATTACTTACTAACATTTAGTAACTGTTAGTTACTTTTCTAACCACTATAAAAAAAGAAAATTCTTACTATAAAAAAAATCCTCAAGCTTCCACCAATTTCAAGGAACATTTAAACAATTACAAGCAAATTTCATTACAAACAAGAATTCATTATAATGGAACTCAAATCTACATAGTAGCATAGTTTTGTGCATCTAAATTCAAACTACTTTATAAATGTAATTAATGCTGCCATTAGGATTGAGAATATTATCCTTTGAAAATCTTCCTTTCCTTTCTACCGAATTTATTGAAAAAGGGCCTCTATAGTAATCCTACTCTTATTTAGCCATCACTAAAGGGGTGACCTCAGCTATACAAATATACAAAGAGTAAAAAGCAACAAACACAATTATTCAAAATAGATGTCCCCAAATTCCATGTATTCAGGATTTTTTCTTAATGTTTAGAAATTATAATAAGCTTGATCAATTCATTTATTCAACAAATATTTATTAAGTATTACTATATACCAGAAATTATTCTAGGCACTAAGACACAACAGAACAAAGCTCACTGCCTTCATGAAACCTAAGGGAGAAGACTCCTGGAAGCTTAAGCTGAGGGAAAGCATATATAACTCAACCTCTGGAAAAGGAAAACCTTAAAAAACAAAAATAATAAAAGCTAACACTTTATATAACCAAAGTACAAGGGACTATTCTAAGCCATTTAATATGGATTCATAATTGTTCCTCATAAGAGCCCTATGAGGTAGCTTCCAGTATCATCACCAATTGAACCAATGAGGAAACTGAGGCACAATGAGATAAAATGACTCTTTCAGGTCATATAGTAATTAATGAAGCTAGAATTCCAATCCATCAGACTCCAGATGACACACATGACTACATGCACTATAATATAGTGCTTCTCAAAAATTAAAAAAAAAGAAAAAAGAAAAGAGAAATCCCAGGCCATTCAGGGAAAGGCAGTTTAACGGATCATAATTATCCCTAACGAACTATTATACAGTATAACATAGGAACTAATGCTTGTAATGATAACCTAGAATCAACAAAATATGACTCCATATCCTCTTTTTCAGAAATTTATATATTAATAAATTTATATTTTAAATAGTCAAAATAAAGATTAGGCATACAACACCAAAAACTTCAGCTATAATTGGAACATTAATTTATAATAATATCTTTTATGATTTAGATTTTCAGAGTAAAGTTTTCATATATATGACTTAACTATTATGATCCATAATTTAGAGATTATAAAGCTTATATAGGCTGTCACATTTCTCATAGGTGCTATATAAATAAGCATGGATATCAACTTAATATAAAATCAACAATAATCTCAAATATTTTAATGATTATGGAAGTAATAACGAAATTTTTCTGACAAAAATTCTTTAAGAAACTATCCTTTGAGGGAAGGAGGGGAATGGAATTGGGAAAGGTGCAACGGTCAACGGTTTCTGTAAACCACTTTTTTTTTTAGACAACTTTTTTTTTTTTAAGACAACTGTGGCAAGTATCTCAAAATGTTGAGATCTAACAAGGTAGATACGTAGGGGTTTATTATATTTTTCACTCTTTTTGTGGTATGCTGAAGATATTCCATTTTAAAGATAAATCAACAAAACAAAATTAACTTTCAGTCCCTAGTCTACCACAAAAAAAATTTTAAGTTACTTTTCAATCCATGCTTATAATAGTCTATTTTATTTCCAAAACAATTAATGCTACAATTAGGACTGTGAATTTTATCATTTGAAAATGAATTCCGCCTTTGCTTTCTATTAAATTTATAGACAGAGGACCTCTACAGTAATACCACCCTTATTTAGCTATCACTGACAGTATACCCAACCTAAGCTATTCAAAATATACAGAAAATAAAAAGTAGTCAAGGAAATTATATAATATTATACAATCATTACATAATTATTAATTATACCATTAAGCAAATGTAGGAAAAGATACGAGGTTTGAAGGAAGTGTACAAGTTCTTGGTCCTCAAATAGCTATTTTAAACCTAATAAGCCTTATCTGCTGAAATCAAACAACTCTTAGAGCCATAAATTTTAATACACTAATCAAAAGTAATGATTATTCAAGAGACTTTTTTTTTCAGTTATATTTCTGTCTGATAGTCATTTTTGCTGAATAGTGAAACCCATTAGCAAGTTTCAACTTAAAAGATTAGAAAGAAAGGAGGGAGGGAAAGAAGGAAGAAATGAAAAAAAGATAGCAATGATAAAATCTAGAAAACAGGTAGGATAAACTATGAACAGCATCATTACAGTAATCCACACAAGATATGATAATCAGGACTTCATTCTCTAACAAAACAGCAAAACATATTTCATGGCAGTCTGCACTTTTTGTCATTTCACACATATCTGCTCATCCAACTAAAGCCCTCTACAAAAACATCTTTAGATTTTCAATACTTTGGCTATAATTAAATGTGGCATTTATCCTATGTAATAACAGCATTTACATCTTATACCATAATCCTGCTTAATATAGAAGTTTAAAAAAATTATCCCAAAAGAAGTATTTATGCATTTCAGCACTAAGATTCCCTCACCCTCAGTTTCAGCAGAGAACTCCCTGTTCTACCACCACCACCCAGTGGCCAATTCATGTATCTGCAAGCTAAAGTGAGCTCCCCACAACAACTAAGCCCTTCTAATTCTCCGTCAATATACAAGGACAGAGTAGTATGAGAAGTACAGTATATAATCTACAGGAAAACACTGTAAGTTTCTCTTACTTGGCACACACTGTTCGTTTCATTAAGTTTCTGGCAATATCTTCAGAGGGAATGCTAAGAATCCAAAAAGGAGACTGAAAAAAATAACAATATACAACTTGTAACTGGTTTTACGGCCTCATATGCTTCCATTCAAGAAGTCAATAAGGAGAGATTCCTATCTGTTACTTTTATGTAAGAATACCTGATCTGACTCTAGCCAAAATAAAAACTGCTCCAATAGTAAAAAAAATAATTTTAATAGGTAACCTGTTAGGATAATAGAGTACAACATCAGAACACTTTTATAAATGACCATAAATGCAAATATCAGCAAATATAAGGTTAATCTTAAGATTAATTTTGTATTGACTGCCTTATGTATTTTGACCAAAATAATTAATGCATATTTTACCCCAAAGTATAATCTCAGAATTTTTTATTATTGATCATTCTTGATAATACAGCTATTTTAACTTCTAAGTAATGTATTTCTTTGAATGATCCCTCTTTTTTTAGGTAGTTGTGGCCACCTGAGGGGTAGAAAAGGAACTCTTTGAAATAACTATGATGGAAAATAATAGGGTATATTATATTATCATTAGTTTTTATTATTTTATCTAAGGAAAAAGTTTCAGGTGCATCAGAGGTGTTTACCAATCCTCTGTCTCAACCATCAAGATTATAGGCACTTTTTTACAATTTATTTTATCTTATCTTATTTTGAGAAAGAGAGCATGCAGAGGTGTGCATGGTGTGGGAGGGTGGGGGGAGAGAGAGAGAGAGACTCAAGCAAGCTCCACACTGAGTGTGGAACCAGACTTGGGGCTCAATCTGCCAACCCTGAGATCATGACCTGAGCAGAAATCAAGAGTTGGTCGCTTAACTGACTAAGCCACCCAGGCACCCCAGTTACAGGAACTTTTCATCTCCACCCAGATAGCCCCTTGCCAGAATACAGAAAAACAAAACAGAACCCTGACCTCAGTTCATCATCCTCAACCAATTATATCTATACTCTCCCTCTTTTTCTCCTCCCTCAGTTTATGAAAGTCAATTAGGAGTCCAAGTCCAACCTTAGCAGACTTGTTTCAACTAAGTTCTCTCATCTTCTGGAAGAAATCCTCCCTGTGAGTCTTTCTTCTTCCATTATTTACACTACTCTAAAGAAAATTTCAAAATAATCCAAACAGAAAAAAGATGGTTATCTCAGTATTATTTTTTTTTAGAAAAATTTAAAAGCAATCTGAAGGACATGAGATCATTAGATAAATAATGATAGAACTAATCAATAGAAATTATTATACAACCCTGTTAGTGATGAAGGCTATGTAGCAACATGTGCCTATATTAATATTATCAAGTGAAAAAGAGACTGAAGAAGTTCATAAGTAGTATTAGAACTAAAGGGAAAAAAAGTATATGAAAAAGACTGGAAGGCAGTACCCTCAAATTATAAGTCACATGAAGGAAGAAGAATTATGAATGACTTTTTCTACTTCCCAAACTTCTCTAATACACTGATAAACTATCAAATACAAAATACAAAGTTCATAAATTCATAATCTTACACATCTGCAATTTCAAATGCTTAAATAATTCCCAATATAAGTCTGAAATTCCACTAAATTCTAAATTTTAATTCTAATCATACCTCATCAACAGAAAACAGCCCTTTTTTTCAATTAAGGACAGATACCAATTGTGGTGCAAGTGTTGAGTTAAAAATTAAAACTAGTACACTAAATGAACACTGGAAATAAATGACATTCCAAAACCACAACTTTTTTCCAAAAATAACCTTTTTATTCAATTGCCCCGAGAAACAGAAACAAGTAACCACACAAATATAAATTTTTTTTTTAGAGATTTTTTTTTTTTTTAAAGATTTTATTTATTTATTTATTAGAGAGCGAGAGAGAAACAGCATGAGAGGGGGGAAGGTCAGAGGGAGAAACAGGCTCCCCGCCGAGCCGGGAGCCCGATGTGGGGCTCGATCCAGGGACTCCAGGATCATGACCTGAGCCGAAGGCAGTCGCTCAACCGACTGAGCCACCCAGGCGCCCCCACACAAATATAAATTTAAGATTTGCCATTTTTCTCTTCCCGAAGATTCTACTTATAAATATACTACACATAGTCTAATGAAAAATATAAATTCAACTTACCTTTCCATAAGTTTCCTGACTACTGATGAACTGACCTCCAAAAAGTGAAAGCAAAGACTTTATTTCCTACATTGAAAATATTATAGAAAGAACATATTTTAACACAGGGAACTCAAAGTCTACTAACAGATATAGGTATAATAAGATTTTTTTAAGAGTGGGCAAGTAACCTACCTGAGGCATTTAAATTTCAACACCCGACAAATTACAACTCTAGGTTCTGAAAAAATTTTACAGTCACAACCACAGTTAAGTAATTTCTGAGAAATTTTACACAAGAAGGCTGCCAAAAGACTTGCTCAGAAAATGCCCTGATTTTGGAAAAAAATGGATGACAAAAACTATAGATTAGTAAATCTGACAACTGATCAATAAAAATAAAATGAATTATTAAACAGGTAAGTTGACGATGTTTAGACAAGAAATAAGTGATTAACCAGGAAGCATCACTGTGGATTTATTAAACAGAAGTTATAGTAAGTTAGCCTCTTCTTTCTGGATGAAGTTAGAGAACTAGAAAGAGAACACAATAGCTACTTTAAAAACATCAGGAATGCAAAGTTGAAATCTGTTCAGATAATATTATATTCTATGAAGCAATCACTTTGTATTGATAAATACAAGAAGACGATACAAATTTTACAATATATACTGTTAACAAATTCTGTCTCCTCAAATAACATAAAGCAGGTAGAATCCCACTCCTCTCTGTAGGTCTTTTGGAGGAGGTAACCCAGTCAAAGATAGGTACCCTCTGCTGGGTGCCTACAATCCCCTTTCATCCCAACTAGGAGAAGGGCAACAAATCTTTTCTTTTTAATCCTTGGATTTACAAGGGGCTAAATTCAGTTGAATTATATGGACAGACCAAAAACTTGCATAGTCTATCAGTAAATACTGACGGTAACTGAAACAGTCACGTGATCTGGGGCAGGCCTCGTGCGTTAATTCACGTGAGCTTTCCAGTTCTTTTAGCCACTCAATTTTTCATCCATTTAGTTTGTTTCAGAGCTAGCAATGAAACCCAGGTGTCTAAACTCTAGTACAATAAGGCAGGCACCAACTAAAACTGGCCCTGATTAACTACAAAGGTAAAACAGTACCACATTATATTTCTAATCTCTCATTTTAAATCATAAAGGCAGCTACTCATTACAGTTTTCCTGCTTAGCAGTTCTAAAACAGTAGATGGACTCAAAAGTGTAGACTGTCCTCTTGATTGCCTTCCCCAAAGGGATCCTCTCAATACTTAACTAAGAAACTAATATGTACAAGGCAGTGAGCTATGTAAAGATAAATACATATTTATCTTCAGGGAGCTTATGGTCTAATAGAACAAAACATTCAACCTAGTAACTGAAATGTGAGCTGTAAAACAGTGAGTGCTCTTAAAGAAGTAAAAGCAAAAAGGTATTATATTAGAGTTCAAGGGAGAAAAGATTACCTCAGTTTCAGAAGAAAAGTTTTCATGGAAACCGACTTAAGACCTGGAATACAGAGAGAACCTGCATAGATGAAAGAGGACTTCCACTTCTAGTGATGGCAAACTAGGTAATGCAGATTGAGCCTCCTGCTGAGAACTAGAAAAACCTGGCATCTGCTTGAACGCTTAGAGCAATTACAAGAATTACCAAACCAAACTTCAGGAGAAGCCAGAAATCCCAAGGTGCAGCCACTTGCTTCCCAGGGTATTTACCAATTCCAAAAGCAGCTGTGAGGGTGGATGGTCCTTTTGACAGCTTAATGGAGCTAGAGGAACAAAAAGAATATTGGGCCAGGGGCGCCTGGGTGGCTCAGTTGGTTAAGCAACTGCCTTCGGCTCAGGTCATGATCCTGGAGTCCCGGGATCAAGTCCCACATTGGGCTCCCTGCT